TCGGGGGTTCGAGTGAGTGAGTTCGATTTAACGCCGCTTTTAACAGTATTAACAGTTATATCACGGCGTGTCAGCTTAATGTGGGAGGAAAGACCGAAGTGATGCAGGTCTCAGACGTTTACCACTTCGGTGAAACCCACGAGCACGGGTATGGTGCTGACAAACCTAGAAACATAATCTAAAGCGCTGCAATGCGTTGTGCAGAGTTGCGTCCCTTGGGCACCCCAAAAATCTATGATCTACGAATCCCGGTTCGCCCCGATTATGTTTCTAGGTTTGTCAGCACCACACCCGTTTCACCAAAGTGGTAAACGTCTGAGACCTGCATCACTTCGGGCTTTCCTCCAACATTAAGCTGACACGCCGTAATATAACTGAAATACTGTTAAAAGCGGCGTTAAATCCAACTGACTCACTCTAAACGTTTGGCTCGGATATCTGCACATTGTATTTTTTCTTATGATCGATTTCGGAGATAGCTACACACTTTATTGCCATGTCACATCCTGGAAGAATAACCTAAAAAAATTCATATTCACGTAAGTAAGATACGCTTTGAAATACACTAGTTGGGATAAAAAAGGTATATTATTAATTGGAAACTAATGTATCAATCTGTTTGTCTACTGTGCACGTGATTGCATATATATTTTGTTCCAAACCACAAACAAGGATCATTTTAACAATAACAGACCCAGGATTGACATCGTATTTGCTAGCGTACATGTATAGATAATTGCCCTCATCAGCAGCTTACTTCATCTTCGTATCCCAAACCGATGGATGAGTGTGACGAGCTGCTACGAAATTTTCGCATCCGTGCTTTACCAATTTCTTTGGCTGCGACTCATTTTGACATTGAGAGAGGAGTGACTTGTCCGCAATTTACATGTAGTTAGATCAGTGTGATGTCAGATCGACACACGCTATGTATCTTCCACAACAAAAGTGACTCAAATATGAAACATACATCATTGATCGGCATTTTAAGGAAAACAACGACAAACTTTCATTCAAGCTATTTATATCAGAAAATAACGTAAAATATCAAACCTTTCAATAAAATATTGATATCAATGAAGCTGAATCTTGGAGGCAATGAAGTAATCTTGAAACAGAAACATGTGAAACGAGTCATCATAACTGTTTTACTTTGACGACTGAAGGTAGAGTACTACAGTATTCATTACAGCAGGGCTGTCAGGACATAGGACATCTTATCCAGCACAAGTATTTATGATCGTGTTCTGTTTCTGTGTTGCTGTTTCTGTTTTCTTGGATTTGGTTTGGTTTTGATTTGGTTTGTTGTTTAACGCCGCACTCAGCAATATTTCAGCTATATGACGCCGTCTGTAAATAATCTAGTCTGGACCAGATAATCCAGTGACTGACATCATGAGCATCGATCCACACAATTGGGATACAATGACATGCACCAACCAAGTCAGCGAGCCTGACCACCCGATCACGTTAATCGCCTCTTACGACAAGCATAGTCGCCTGGGAGGCGGTCCACTCTTTATCGGATCAGGGGCGGTCGGGTAGCCTAGTGGTTAAAGCGTTCGCTGGTCACGCCGAAGACCCGGGTTCGATTCCCGACATCGGTACAATGTGTGAAGCCAGGTTCTGGTGTCCCCCGCCGTGATATTGCTGGAATATTGCTAAAAGCGGCGTAAAACCATACTCACTCACTAACTCACCTTATCGGATCATTCGATTGTGGTTGTCGGTTTTCCGTATTAATTACTGTGCTCATGACGTCAATCAGTGGATTGTCTGGTTCCGACTCGATTATTTACAGATCGCCGTAATAAAGCTGCACTATTGCTGAGAGCGGCGTTAAACAACAAACAAACAAAATACGAAGGTATACCTTGTTTACACATACGGATCTTTCCCGATCCTTCTAGATATCAAGAAACACAATCTACACATCGACACAATATGCATGCTTCTCAACATTTGTTGACATACATAATTTACTGGATTTACGCAAATCCAGTGCAGGTTATTTCTCATCAGGTATATGTTTACAGTAGGATTTACCGAAGCCGTGTTTACATAAGTGGGTCCACATCAGTGATAACAATAAAAGAAGACTCAAGTCTCCGGTAAACTCAAACGATGTTTACTTGTTCGGATCAAAACAATAACTGACAACACAACGGTATAACTCTGTCGACATCATCACAACACTCACACAACCATTCCAAACTACGTTGACATTGCGTTCTATGTATAGAAATACTTCCGGGTTTAGAGTTACCTCCCTTACATCAATAAATAAGACTCTTGACTATTCCAATAAGAATAACTCTTGGAATACTAGTATATGGGGTGCGGGTGACAAAGTAGTGGTAGAACATGCCGTACTTCACTCACGGCTAACGCCACGTTGCCAGTACAAGATGCCCTGGTCCACGACAAGACGATTATTATCAATATGATACAGGTGTATGTGGTTTTCGTGGCAAATGTCGAGGACGTTGTCATTTGGCGTTTCTCAAACATGAGTTGTTGTTGTCGTTTAACGCCACACTCAGCAATATTCCAGCTATATGACGACGGGACGGATAATCCAGTCGGGACCAGACAATCCAGTGATTGATATCATGAGCATAGATCCACGCAGTTGGGATACGATGACATGCATCAACCAAGTCAGCAAGCCTGACCACCCGATCCCGTTAGTCGTCTCTTACCACAAGCATAGTCGCCTTTTACGGCAAGCGTGGGTTGCTGAAGCATTGTAGACCTATCTCAAACATGAAGTCTTATTTTATTTGAAGTTAAAACAGAGTAAAATACATCTCATTCAACGCCTGGGGTTTATGGGAATCCAGTCTTTATAGACTTATGCAAAACAACATCAGTATACTTTAAATATTGTTCCAGAATTTAAATCTTTTGATGATCAGTGAAATTGCATTGTGGGTTACTGGCGTTCATCCTGACTGCGTTACTGCCAAACACTGCCTACTTATCATACCTCCATGTCAGAATGATGAGATCTGATTGGTCCACGTGACCTGATAAGATACAATGTACTGTGTATCCCGCCTTGGAGGGGATTAAATTTGTCAACGAAGGGAATAAATCTCATACCCCGCCACGAGGAAGTCAGGCGGTACGTGGATTTCTTAGTGGATAAATCCCTTATAGCCCCATCACTGGTCAATGGAAGTCATATGACATACCGCAAGCTTACCTCGGTTACCTACAGCTGTTTCCTATTTGAATTTGCTTGAATTCTTTACAATGTCATTTTTAAAACATGTATGTATGATACATTCGTTGTAGCAGGATCACTCGGGGTACATGGGGTTTTGTGCATCCCACGATAGGTTTTATAGCACGACCCGGAGGCCGGTGGCTTGTGGTATAAAACCTAACCCCATGTACCCCGAGTGATCCTGCCACAACTTATATATGTTTGTGATTGCACACTTCATATATTTATATTGGAAGGAAAACAGATGTTATGTTGGCAGATGTACATACGGCCATCAATCCAATGGTGGTCGAGTACAATAAACAAATTCAACATGAATATCATCTAGGGAGCTAGAACTAAAAAAGCGATACAAGCAGCCAAACACACACGCGCGCATGTGAATGTTAGTCGCAATATAACTGCACCTTGAGCGCGACGTTATAACCCCATTTCACCTCCATATAGAACTGAAATACTCTTCAAAGCGTGAAACCAAACTCACCCACTCACTCACTCACTCACTCGCTCGCTCGCTCGCTCACTCACTCACTCACTCACTCACTCACTCACTCACTCACTCACTCACTCACTCACTCACTCACTCACTCACTCACTCACTCACTCACTCACTCACTCACTCACTCACTCACTCACTCACTCACTCACTCACTCAAATTCAGCATGAACATTCAACGCCCGGGAACTCCAACCATGAAGTGATAACATGGTTTCGCTTCCTGTCGGAGGGTTGTTGATGTCTGTGGTGACCTGCATAGACACTATGCGGACATTTAAACTCCTATCATTTCCCGTATATGTCACCGTACAACGCGTCTGTGGTAAGGACGCGGGTTGCCCTGTGCCGTGCCGTGAGACCTTTGGTCGTGGGTTCGAATTCCGGTACGCCCAGAGTTTTCAAGGTTGGTCATCACCATACCCGTGCTCGTGTTTTTTTCAAAGTGGTAAACGTTTGACACTTCGTGCTTTTCTCACATGTCAAGCAAACGCGTCGTAATAGAACTGAACCGCCTGCGGGAAGCGGAAAGTCGGTAGTTCGATTACCTGGCCGCGTCATACCCAAATACGTACGTCACAAGATGGAACTTGTTGTTACTCTGCCTGCCTAGTGTATCACTGTTAAACTGCGGCAAGGTCTCTGATCTAGGGAGCTAGAACTAAAATAGCGATACAAGCAGCCAAACACACACGCGCGCATGTGAATCGCTATATATATGACATGCATTGATACAGCGGTAAAACATGTCAATATCATCATGCAGCAGGTAATCAAATATCCAAAAGTAATTATGATTATTAACATGATTTGTTATTATTATATTATTTGAACTTCCTGTTCATCGATCCCAATCCTTTCAGAAAGGTATGTCATGATAACGAAGACAAGAGGGGACCATTGTTTATTATTTAAAATAATTTACAAGAAGAGATTTACAAGAAATTTTGGTCAATACCGAAGACATATTAATGTTGATACCGCCTCAACCATAGGCGTAGCTTTCTAATTAATAGCCATGATCACTTACAGATTATTGTTACTGTTAACTGTTCATTATATGCTTAAATAAACACATTGATCTGTACATATATACAGGAGTACATACATATACACATAAACTGAAACTACAGTAAAGTACGGTTATAACGAACTCAAAGGGACTACTAATTTTAGTTCGTTTTAACCGTAGTTCGTTATAAGCATATATACAGCATAACTACAGCAAATAGTCGGGACCAAAAAAGAAGTTCGTTATATCCGTCAGTTCGTTATAAGCGTGTTCGTAGTTTACTCTATGTTCCTTGTTTCAGGATAGTACGTGGTACATATGATACAAATGATACGTGTTACCACCAAACAAGGCACAGCGTGTCATCACTAGCATACTAGGGTTTAAAGAATCAGTGTTATACAGAAGCTTCCCACGAAAGGTATTTCAAGTAACTATGTACAATATCATATAAATATCGACTGCTGAACATGCTCTTGGACTGCATCAGTTTCGGCATCAGTTGCATCAGTTGCGAAGGTCACAGGTTGATTAACATTCCTCGCTGAATTTACTCTCGTTGTGAACGTCAACATGAACAAAATGTCTTTACAGTGTAATAGTTTGGTCACAGAAACTGACCTGCTCCCTGCCTTAAAGTGCAAACAGGTCGGTTTCTTGTTGGATGCGTTTGGTTGGTAGACACGAAATTGTCATTGGCGCTTAGTATCGGATAAATACTACTAGCGGACTACGAGCAATTTGTTTGAGAAGTACAATTGCTCTCGCCAAGAGAAACATTAACATGGTAGTATGTTGTCACATGTATCTCTTTTAAAAACAAACTTTTCAATGTAGAAAATCTTATTTTTTACCATCGTCTGTTGTTGTTAAACGTGCTTAGGTTGCCACGCAAACCGACCGTGGAGCCAGTTTACACAAAACGTCACTACTAACGTCACTATATAGCAAAACGCACAGTCAAGTAAAAACTATGTGGATAAAGTCTGCCGGTAGGCTTTACGAGGATCCTTGCAGCTTACTGACACAATCCAACTACTGACACATCCAACCTACCGACACCTTCAGTCTTCGGACGTATTCACCCGATCGACAACTGCAGTTTCAGACACCTCCTGCCTATTGACACCTCCAGTCCGTCGGGGATTTCTCCTTCCGAACACTCCCGGCTCGAGCTACTTTCCGCATCTCGGCAATGGGGTCATAGTTGTCGTATGTCTGGGTAGGACAATTCACCTCTGTCATGGTTCGTTGCCGTTTGGGAGGAGCTTGTCGATTAGCAGTTCTGTCACTGGGTACCCTTACCTTTGGTGTTTGGTGCATCGCCATGTTGTCATACATCTCAGTAGGTTTAGCTGAAGGTACGACCCTCCCTTGGTCGGGTTTGCCTGTGGTTGGACTCGGACCGGTCGACATATTTACTTTCGCAGATCTTTTCCGGTTTGGTGATCCTGTTTTGACAACATTTGAACCTGGCTGAGTTTGCTTGTTCCACCTATTGATGGACGATGCTACTGCGGACTCCATCTTCTCATAATTCTCAGTGGGTCTAGTTCCTGGGCTGTCAGTCGGACCTTGGACTGGCTTTACTGGGTTTTGCATCTTCGCATAACCTTTAGGATTCTTGGCATATTGCTCTCTCGGTACTCGTGACACTTCAACCTCTTCGTATTCATCTGCAGGAACCCAATCATCCTTAGTCACAGGCTTTAACACCTTCTTAGCTCCCGGTTTGAGTGCAGCCTTTGGCACCTGCCTCGGACTTGCATTTTGGGCACCAGATTGATTCTTTCGGGTCTTTTTGGGCTGATCGTGGAGCTGACTTAAATTTTCGTAAGAATCTGGTTCAAATGATTCCGCAGGTGAAATTGTTTTTTGTGTCTTAACTTTGTCTTTTGTGTCTTGTGAATAATCTTCGTATTCGTTGTCGGGCTGCTGGCGTTGTGCCACAGAGAATTTTACTTTTGGAGATTTGTTAAACTGTAACCAAGGCTTCGTTTTCGTTTGGGGAAGCAATGGTCTCGGCGGACGTAAAGTGTCCTGCTGCGGCGTCTCGTACTCACCAGTGACTTCAGCAGGTTCATATTCATTGGATGGAGTTATTCCAACATAACTATTACTGGTGGTGCCACGCCTGCAAGGTCTATCTTTCTTGTCGCTGGTGATGGAGACTCGAGATTGGAGTCGTGACGTATTGAGGACGCGTCGTTTCACACTGTGAAATTAACACAGATATTAATGATGGCATCAAACCCGGCGTGATGTGATTGCAAGACAAGGACATCCCCAACAAACCCGTTTGCAAAAACACCTCAACACAACTCATATCCCAGCACCCCCCGCCCCCCAAAAAACACAAAAACACAATTGAAGTTCAACGCAGTAGAAGTATTTTTGGAAATAATGACATGTATTTTCTACACATACATTTGTAAACCTTTCACGAATAATTATAATAAAGATAGTAAAACACTATTAATAGTTCTACTTGGCGTAATTGCCTAACATTTCGGGTGTCATATATGTCTTGAAGGATGCAACAAATGTGTCTTGAATTGAACCATGAAGGTTAAGTGACATATAGAGAAATGGGGTTAGAAACACATTTACAACAATGTCTGTAAATAAATATGTAATTCATTCCTAAAGCGGGATTGAGGAAAACGTCATCGTCTTATATGTACCCAAAATTGCATTTCACATGACAACGTAATCCACAAGTAATAACAAAATGAAAGTGGATATTCAATACAATCCATTCAATCACAAGTTAAGTGCAACTTTTACAATCGGCATTAGGTGAGACCCGCAGGTAGTCCACAGAAAGTGAGCCCCGGTACCATAAAGTTACCTCAACAGATCGCATCCCGGAGCGGATATTGGTTCATGCTATCAACCACTGGTTTGTCTGATACATGGTCTAGCTCTTACAACCTGTCCTGTTATAGTATTAATAATGTTGAACCTACATTCATTCATTCAACATGAATAGTAACTTCTTTGAGAGGCATTAAGAAGTTGGAGTACTAAGTAAGGATAAGAAATATGGATGAACAACTTCTTTATTACAAATAGGAGCGACGTTTAGGTGAAGGTTCAAGCAAGTTATCAAGCAAGTGTTATGATCTGTTCATCAATTGTTTTGATAACGGTGTTAGAACCTACACCGAAACGTTGCTCCTAATTGTAATAAAGAAGTTGTTCATCCATATATCTTATCCTCACTTAACTTGACTTGTGTTTTCTACTTTCATACATTTTCAGAAAAAAAGGTTCGCGATGACACAGAAACACAAACTCACAGATAATAGATGCCTCCAAATATGGCAACGTCCAGGAGGATGAAGACGGTGAACGCGGAACCCAGGATGACCCCAAGAGACGCTGAAACAAGAAAACATGGTGTAACATCAATGTGGCATGTCTTCTCGATGGAAAACAAAGCATTTATCAAAATATGCAAGAAGGTTACTAAGGCCTGCTTCATGTTTGGCCTCTCAACCTACATGAAGCTTAAGCTGACGTCCAAATTATAGAAAATATATATCAAAAGATGTGAGACCCAGCTCACTCACTCTATTACCGACCCGTGAAGATCCGGGGTAGAATAGGTCTTCGGCAACCCATGTTTGCCGTAAAAGGCGACTGTGCTTGTCATAAGAGGCGACTAACGGGATCGGGTGGTAAGGCTCGCTGACTTGGTTCATGCATGTCATCGTATCCCAATTGGGTGGATCGATGCTCATGACGTCAATCACTGGATTGTCTTGTCCCGATTCGATTATTTACAGACCGCCGTCATATAGCTGATATATTGCTGAGTTCGGCGTTAAACAACAAACAGACAAACAAAACACTCTATTACCAGGCTTATCTTTGGGCGCGGGGTCCTCTTCTTTTAGAGATGCTTTACAGTTAATCGTCACAGATTCTTTCTTATTCACTGAAACAAGTATGATTTGAAACATAAGAACACCAAAGGGGTTAATCAGTTTGAAATTAGCATCCATTCAGTGTTTAGATAAACACCCAACAATTACCAAATTTATTTTATTTGTTCAACTGACATATGTCAAATATCGTTGAAAATTTAAGTTACATCAGTTCAAACATTTCCGTGTTATCGGTGCGTTGTAATGTCAATTCTAGCACGTACATGCGAATATATGTCAACAGTTAGTCGAGGTTCACACGATCAGGACTACCGGAGTTTCGGTGTGTATACACGCTTGGGATGTTTCAGAATGACCTACCTTGGAAATCGAAACAGATCCGATGATTTGCATTCCTTTCTGAACTGTTCCTTTTACGTTCCAGCGCGAGGGTGACCTTCTTCTTGTTGAACGAGGGAAAGTCAAGAATTTTTGTGTGTTCGTCATATCTAAGAAACTGAGAGCCGTTATGTATGGTGTAATTAAACGGGTTGGCATTGTCGAACTTGTTGCGCATTAGATTGAAGATGTTGGTCGTATTTCCCTCAATGCTGCACTTGCAGGATAGGAGTTGTACGACATCGTCTGGACTCACATACAAGTTTCCTGACTTGCCCGTGAAGTGGGATGAATGGTTTTGGCAGATCCTGAATACTGCAAGAACATAAAACATCAATTTGACAACATTTATCCATTGATTCGTTTCGACATTGCTTGTGTCCTTATGATTAAACTTCCTTTAAAATATCTAATATCCCGTGGGGTCACGTATGGTGAAACATCGGTCAGTTGCAATAAATAAGGTAATTAAAAATGATTGCTTCTACATTAGTGAGTGCGTGAGTTGGGTTTGACGCCACTTTTAACAGTATTCCAATTATATCGCGGCGTGTCAGCTTAATGTGGGAGGAAAGCCCAAAGTGATGCAGATCTCAGAAGTTTACTACTTCGGTGAAACCCACGAGCACGGGTATGGTGCTGACAAATCTAGAAACATAATCGGGGCGAACCGGGATTCGGACCCACAAGGGACGCAACTCTGCACAGCGAATCGCGGCGCCTTCGACGACTGGGCCACCCGTGCCCCTACTTCTATATGAGTAAGTAGAATGTGCCTAATGGTGCATTTAGAACAACCCACAAAAGTGTGGATATGAGATTGAAACACCACTGCTAGTGGAACAATAGCCGCTCCCCGAAGGTATGCCCTAAAATATAAACTCGGATTTATACATTAGTGGGGCTGTCGGGTGGCCTAGTGGTTAAAGCGTTCGCTCGTCACGCCGAAGACCCGGGTTCACTGCCAACATGGGTACAATGTGTGAAGCACATTTCTGGTGTCCCCCCGCCGTGATATTTCTGGAATATTGCTAAAAGCGGCGGAATCCAATACTCACTAACTCACATATTCATTAGTAGTCACAGCAGTATGTGTTGTGATTGAATATGGTGTCTGTATTTGGTTAACACTACTCTAACAAATGTAAAATAAACCAATCAAATATTTACACTCTTCTCTCCAAAACATAAAATCAACACTTTCAGGATAATAATAGTTAAGACTATGTCTAACATTCGGGCGGTAGATCATCATCAACATCGTCACACCGAAGATCCGGGTTCGAATCCCGACATGGGTACAATGTGTGAAGCCCATTTCTGGTTTCCCCGGCCGTGATATTGCTGGAATATTGCAAAAAGCGGCGTAAAACTGAACTCACTCACTCACTATTTTGAAAGGGGGAGACGGAGGTACACGCAGTTTGTTACAATACCATTTGTTTCGGTGTCGGGGCAATCTCCTGAAGCTGAAACAGAAAAAAATACCATAATAATCTCATGAAATTGACTATATCTAGATAGAGTAAACAAACATGATTTTGCCGCTTACAGTAAATCCACATTATATAATCGGGTTTCCGAGAAGCATTGAAAATATTGAATTCAAGCTAATTTTCATAAGCGTGCATAAGCAGTCAAAAACGTCGTAAGCATATTAAGCCTTCATACGCATTCTTAAGTATCATAAGCGTTCATATGCTTTATGGACATTCATTAGTGTTCACAAGAGTCTTAAGCGTTCGGGTCGGTGGGGTAGCCTTGTGGTAAAAGAAGCATTGTCACGTCGAAAGCCCTGGTTCGATTCCCCATATTTTTACAATCTGTGGAGCCCATTTCTGGTGTCCTCAGCCGTGATGTTGCTAAAATATTGCTAAAAGCGGCGTAAATCATGCTCACTCACTCACTCACTCACTCACTCACTCACTCATAAGCGTTCATAAGAGTAATAAGCGATCGTAAATGTCAAAAGCGTCATAAGTGTGCATACGCGTCACAAGCGTTGAGGAATGAGTGAGTATGAATGTACTCCGCTTTTAGCAATATTCCAGCAATATCACGGCGGGGGACACTAGACATGGGCTTGGCACATTGTACCCATGTGGGGAATCGAACCCGGGTCTTCGGCGTGACGAGCGAACGCTTTAACCACTAGGCTACCCGACCGCCCCCATAATCGTCCATAAGCGTTAATACGTGTATAAGCGTCATAAGCGTTTATAAGCGTTAATACGTGTAATAAGCGTCATAAGCGTTCATACATGTAAGTGGCATGAGCGTTTATTGGAGATCATCACGGCATTACCGCCTAGGCGGTGCGGTGGATATAGCGTCTTCCCGAAAATCATCAAAAACGTTCAGACGTGTAAGAAGAGTCGTTGATAAGCGTTCATAAACGTATAAGCTTTATACGCGTTCATAAGTGGTAAAAGCGTGCATATGCGTTCACTACCGCTTCCGCGGTGAAGTGCAAAGCATTAGGTCGGTGGTACGATCCCTGCAGGCCGCGTCATACCAAAAGACGTTAAAGAATGGTACTTGTTGTTACCCTACCTGACACCCCGTGGGGATTCCGGGTTAGAATAGATGCCCAGCAAGTAATGCTGGTCGTATATAAAAGGCGAGTAATTCACAAAATGATTTGGTGATCAGACAAGATTATAGACTGGATTATTTACGAGCCGCGGTCATATAGCTGGAATATTGATGAGTGTTGCGAAAGTCAACAGGCAAAACCTTGCCTGGCGCTCGGGAATAAAACAAGCACTGGTCAGCACTGAGTGGAGTATCCATGTTAGACTGCGGCATGAGATCTCAGTGGTCTAGCACTATAAACCGGCGTCAGTCCGGACTGGCACAACAAGCCACGTACACATGTACATGCTCTTAACAAGTGCAACACTCTTGAACACGACGTTACATCCCATTCAACCTCACCATCTCATAAGCGTTGGCTGTCATATGAACGACACAGTTAGACGTTGATACGTTGAGTGTTACCCGTAGTTCTAGGTAAGTCGAGTAGGTATTATATTTTACCATACAGACACCTGACATATTATGTTTGACATGCGACAAGGAATGCTATTTAACCAAATACAGGAAGAGAATAATATAAAATTGTGTTCAACATTGCCGAACACTTTTCCTTTGCCGACACTGTATTTATTATGATCAAATAGTTTTCATATTTTAAATAAGGATTGAAAAAGGTGATAGGAAAATAGTAATCTATTTCTATTGCCTTTCCTTTTAGCCATTAGATTTGTGATCTTTCAATTGCAGTGTGTAAACACATGTCCATTTCTGTTGGACAAATACAGTTGCACGATTCTTTAAAATGTTAATTTAAAATACAATACTCGCCATGGCCAGAGACAGGTCACATTAAAGTGATTTCATAGCAGCATACGTTCATATGATTCAGTGATAGACGCTCATGCGGTTTGACCTTCACTATAAGACGGTTCATACCGCCATACGCTCACAACAATTCTTCATGACATATCGTTATACAAGCATTGACATAGGAACATACGTAATCGTTGAGAAACAATGTTCCTTAATTCAGATGTTCAGATACTTCCTTTGTTCAATTTGGATCAGCCTATCTGCCTCTTGCACGGCTTACTTATACAGGCGTACAGCTCAAATACACTCACCGTATTTCGTATGGAGTAGGAGCAGACAGACAAGTCCTAGTCGCGTCATATTGAAGACTGGCAGGGCTGGTTCCGTTTTGCCACGAATGATGGGACTGTCAATACATGTAACATCTACGCTGGTGTTTCCGCAGCGAAAGTATAATCACTTCCGCTTGGTCGTTTACAATCCATTGTCATATTTCTGTTGAAGAACCCATTTCTGTGAATGGGAAGATGATGATAATTAGCTTTACTAGTGTCTACACTGTTGAAAGTCTTTGATTGTTATATATTCAGACGGTACCATTTCGTTACTACGGAATAATTGTACAATGTTAAAATGTATTTTTAATACTAGGATAACACTATCGTAGTAGTCATGATATTATGAATAGTACCTGAAGTACACGATTTGTTATAGCGTATTGTTTTATCTGTATTGAGGTTTTTCAGGTTGTTATAATGATAAAATTAAAATTGTGTGATTCCCATTATTGATTGATGTGGATGTTATTTTCGAAAACTGCTGAACGGAAGTGCAGTGGGGAACTATTTTCTCAAAAGGACTTCCCCGTGAGCACGAGTCACTACACCAACTTGCAATGTTTGAAACAATGTCTGCAAATAGTATCCGAAACATCCATTTATCGGATTGTCAAATACTTAATGTGGTGTGTCATCAATGTGTGGCGAACCTAAAGTATACTAAAGTATATTGGTGGAAAGCTCCACCAAAAGTAAACTCACGCGACACAACGAATCTTTTGGCAAATAATATTGTTTTTTTCGAAGTTGATACAATATTCAAAACAAATTCAACTCGAGGTTGTATTTAGCCGAAACAAACATATCATTCAACTCTACTCTCCAAACGTATAAACTACACTTGCGCTAAGGTAGTAGGTAAAAAGGATGTCTTCATATGACGTTCAGTAGCTGCAGACAAGCGCATCATTATGAAATGTGTGATTAAAAGTTCATGGAAAGATTTGTTTGTTGGTTAACGCCGCACTCAGCAATATCCTAGCTATATGACGTCGGTCTGTAAATAATCGGGTCTGAACCAGACAATCCAGTGATTGATATCATTAGCATCTACCCACGCAATTGGGATCGATGACATGCACCAAACCAAGTCAGCGAGCCTGACCACCCGATCCCGTTAGTCGCCTCTTACGACAAGCATAGTCCCTTTTACGACCCGTGAAGATTCCGGGGTGGAATAGGTCTTCAGCAACCCATGCTTGCCGTAAAGGTGACTATGCTTGTCGTAAAAGGCGATTGGTTGATACATGTCATCGATCCAAATTGCGTGGATCGATGCTCATGATATTATTCACTGGATTGTTATTTACAGACCGACGTCATATAGCTAGGATATTGCAACCAATCAACCAACTTTTACGGCAAGCATGGGTTGCTGAAGACCTATTCTACCCCGGATCTTCACGGGTCTTTTGATATACGATGACATGCATCAAACAAGTCATGATCAGCGATCCTGATCACCCCATCCCGTTCGTCACCTCTTACGACTTATCGAGTCCATGGAAGTAATACAAAATGATAAAATTAGATAACTTTTATGTAACATCGTTAATTCGGATGGCATTACCAGTTCGGATTGCACCAGGTAACACATAAAAGGCATTATGGGTATGTAATTCCTTGTTAATGCAATACCAAAAGAACACGATTTAGTATTAATTCAAGAAATCGAGTTAGTCATTTCGTAAACTCCACCGAACATGTCTAGCTTTTCATCACAGTAAATCAAGCGAAATGGACCTTCCTATTCACAGGTTTTACAGCATACATAAACAAATAGTGTTATAATTATACTTGTAAAGACCTCATTTGAACTTGTTCTAACACAAACCAAAGCACATATGGATTCAATGTTTTTTTGTATATATTGTGAGTTTCATAAGTTGAGACAAAATACTTCTGATAAGGAAGCAAGTTTTTTTTCTATTCCTTTGATCAAAATTATCTAATATTATTACTTTATTCATCGTTGTGTTATGTTTCAATATGAGTTGGATGCAAGCAGTACACTATGCGAACATGTGGATGTCATGGATGTTTGGCATCACAGAGCACTACTTTCACCGGAACGGGTTGTCAGGCTGATTGACTAGGTTAGTGCATGTCATCGTATTCGATGTCATGGATGTTTGGCATCACAGAGCACTACTTTCACCGGATCGGGTTGTCATGCTGATTGACCTGGTTAATACATGTCATCGTATTCGATGTCATGGATGTTTGGCATCACAGAGCATTACTTTCACCGGATCGGGTTGTCAGGCTGATTGACTTGGTTAATACATGTCATCGTATTCGATGTCATGGATGTTTGGCATCACAGAGCATTACTTTCACCGGATCGGGTTGTCAGGCTGATTGACTTGGTTAATACATGTCATCGTATTCGATGTCATGGATGTTTGGCAGTTATAGAGCACTACTTTCACCGGATCGGGTTGTCAGGCTGATTGACTTGGTTAATACATGTCATCGTATTCGATGTCATGGATGTTTGGCAGTTATAGAGCACAACTTTCACCGGATCGGGTTGTCAGGCTGATTGACTTGGTTAATGCATGTCATCGTATTCGATGTCATGGATGTTTGGCAGTTATAGAGCACTACTTTCACCGGATCGGGTTGTCAGGCTGATTGACTTGGTTAATACATGTCATCGTATTCGATGTCATGGATGTTTGGCAGTTATAGAGCACTACTTTCACCGGATCGGGTTGTCAGGCTGATTGACTAGGTTAATGCATGTCATCGTATTCGATGTCATGGATGTTTGGCATCACAGAGCACTACTTTCACCGGATCGGGTTGTCAGGCTGATTGACTTGGTTAATACATGCCATCGTATTCGATGTCATGGATGTTTGGCAGTTATAGAGCACTACTTTCACCGGATCGGGTTGTCAGGCTGATTGACTTGGTTAATGCATGTCATCGTATTCGATGTCATGGATGTTTGGCAGTTATAGAGCACTACTTTCACCGGATCGGGTTGTCAGGCTGATTGACTTGGTTAATGCATGTCATCGTATTCGATGTCATGGATGTTTGGCAGTTATAGAGCACTACTTTCACCGGATCGGGTTGTCAGGCTGATTGAGTAGGTTAGTGCATCTCATCGTATTCGATGTCATGGATGTTTGGCATCACAGAGCACTACTTTCACCGGATCGGGTTGTCAGGCTGATTGACTTGGTTAATACATGTCATCGTATTCGATGTCATGGATGTTTGGCAGTTATAGAGCATTACTTTCACCGGATCGGGTTGTCAGGCTGATTGACTTGGTTAATGCATGTCATCGTATTCGATGTCATGGATATTTGACAGTTATAGAGCACTACTTTCACCGGATCGGGTTGTCAGGCTGATTAACTTGGTTAATGCATGTCATCGTATTCGATGTCATGGATATTTGACAGTTATGGATTACCACTGTGAATGTTGTTCTCCTTATCATGTAGTTCGAAATGAGTTCGAATGATACCAAATGTTGTAATGAGTCTTCATTGAATGTATTTTATGGGATAACGTTGTACATGCATGTCCCCATGCTGACCGTCACAAACCAGTAATTCTGGATTATGTAACGCCGTAAAGCATACGGATTCTTCAGAGAAATAGCCTCATTGGCAGAAGCAAAAAGTAGTATGGGCGTGGTTTCAAACGGCTATCAGCCGTAAAGATTCCGGGTTAGAATTGATCGTCAGCAACCCATGCTTGTCGTTAGAGGCGATTAACGGAATCAGGGGTTCAGGCTCACTGACTGGGTTGATGCATGTCCTACAGCACCCGTCACGCAGCGGGCATACATAGGGTACAATATCCATGCCCTTGGTTTAGGGAAACGTGCACTTTAGGAAACTTTTCTTGAACTTTTCTGAACGGGAGAAAGAGAGAGAGAGAGACACACACACAGAGAGACACAGAGAGACAGAGGGAGACAGAGAGAGAAGGAGAAAGAGAGAGAGACACACACACAGAGAGACACAGAGAGGCAGAGGGAGACAGAGACACACACACACAGAGATACATACATAGAGAGACACAGAGAGACAGAGGGAGACAGAGAGAGAAGGAGAAAGAGAGAGAGACACACACACAGAGAGACACAGAGAGGCAGAGGGAGACAGAGACACACACACACAGAGATACATACATAGAGAGACACAGAGAGACAGAGGGAGACAGAGAGAGAAGGAGAAAGAGAGAGAGACACACACACAGAGAGACACAGAGAGGCAGAGGGAGACAGAGACACACACACACAGAGATACATTCATAGAGAGACACAGAGAGACAGAGAGAGAAGGAGAAAGAGAGAGAGACACACACACAGAGAGACACAGAGAGGCAGAGGGAGACAGAGACACACACACACACAGATACATACATAGAGAGACACAGAGAGACAGAGGGAGAAAGAGAGAGAGACACGCAGAGAGACAGAGGGAAACAGATAGAGACAGGGAGAGAAGGAGAAAGAAAGAGAGAGAGACACAGGGAGACACAGAGAGACACAGGGAGACAGAGAGAGACACACAGAGAGACACACACAGAGAGACAGAGGGAGACAGAGAGAGACAGAGCGAGACACACAGAGAGGCAGAGAGAGAGACCACATTGCAAGAACGTTGGATTTTACCCGTGTGACCACAGCCAGGTTTACTATTACGGCAAACAGGGCAGACAAGTGACCGACCAAGGTGTGTAAGACCGTGTGTGACCACAGCCAGGTTTACTATTACGGCAAACAGGGCAGACAAGTGACCGACCAAGGTGTGTAAGACCGTGTGTGACCACAGCCAGGTTTACTATTACGGCAAACAGGGCAGACAAGTGACCGACCAAGGTGTGTAAGACCGTGTGTGACCACAGCCAGGTTTACTATTACGGCAAACAGGGCAGACAAGTTACCGACCAAGGAGTGTAAGACCGTGTGTGGCCACGCCCATTTACGACCGTCACTTGCGCGTTCTCCATCTCCAAAACCGAATCATCCCCACGACGACATCTGCGTCGATCGACGGAACTTAGAGTGACGGTAAAGGAACAACGCCGACGTGACAGATGAA